GGGATCTCGGTAAGGGTGATGAAGAGCTCCTGGCTGTCGGGGAAATCAGCGGTGCCAGCGCTGTCGACTGCCTCGTCCTCCTCATCTCCTTCTTCATCTTCCCCGTCCGCTGTCATGTCCGACGAGGAACCGGCCGCGGACATGATCCCATCCTCGGAGTCCACGGTCAGGGGTGGGGTAGTGGTGGCAGCCGCTCCCAGGATGGAATGCAGTGCCTCGTAGAAACGGGATGTGTGGGGCTGGGATCCGGATCGTCCGTTAGCCTCTTTGGTTTTTTGGTAGCCTTGTCTCAGCTCCTTGATTTTCACGCGGCACTGCGTTGCATCCCGGCTGTAGCCTCTCTCTGCCATGGCTTTGGAGATCTTCTCGTAGATCTTAGCATTCCTTCTTTTGGAGCGCAGCTCTGAAAGCACGGACTCATCGCCCCACACTGCGATGAGATCCAAGACTTCCCGATCAGTCCATGCTGGGGCCCTCTTTCTATTAGATTGCACGGCCATCTCTGCTGGAGAGCTCTGCATAGTTGCCACTGCTGCTGAGCTCCCCTCGATGTCCAAAGAGGAACTGAGATTCAAACTGCCCAGACAGGAAAATGAAAATGAATTCAAATTTTCCCGGGGGTGTGGCTGGTCAGAGCATCCGAGCTCTGACTGCTGTCCAGAGCGTCAACAGAGTGGTGCACTGTGGGATAGCTCCCGGAGCTATTACCGTCGATTTCCATCCACACCTAGCCTAATTCGATATGGCCATGTCGAATTTAGCGCTAATCCTCTCGTTGGGGAGGATTACAGAAATCGATTTAAAGAGAGCTTTATGTCGAACTAAATGGCTTCCTGGTGTGGACGGGTGCAGGGTTAATTCGATATAACGGCGCTAAAGTCGACATAAAAGCCTAGTGTAGACCAGGCCCTAGATAGCAATGCCTTCTTCATCCTCCAGTGAATTTAATGAGGTTGTGCTGAGAATCATAAAATTTTAAAAGCCCATACTGAATGTAAACATATATAAATAAAGTAATGTTATTATTATAATACAGCCAATCTAAATCCCTCCTACAAGGTTTTGTGGGGGGGGGGGGGTGCGGGGGGGTTGGACATGGTATTCTATACTTCATGCCTTAAGCTGTTGTGTAGTGTGGCTGTATGTTATTGCTGTCTATCACCCTAAGGGTACATCTACACTGCAGCCCTAGCTGTGATTTGCAGCTAGATGTACTTTTGCTAGCTGTAATCTGCTAGCTTGCTAAAAATAGACATGAGTTTGGGCTTCAGCAAGGGCTGCAGAAGTCTGCTTGCTTGATCCCCCCTGGTATTTGCTCACTTGTGCAACCAATGCTGAAGCCCACACCTGCCCATCCTCACTTCTATTTTTAGCAAGCTGGCTAGATTACAGCTAGTATGGGTATATCTACATGACCTGCAAATCATATCTGCTGCTGGAGTGTAGCTGTAACCTAAAAGTGGTTGCACTTGAGTAGTACATGAAGTAAACCCTGTGAGCCAGATTCTGCCAGAGTGGTGTAAAGGGGCCTTAAATGTAAATGAGAATCAGGACCTACATGTACAGCTAATTTATATATAAGGGCTCTCTCATGCTATGATTCTAATTAGGTACAGACTCACTTTGACTGTAGAGAGCCTCCTGGAGCTCCACAGTGTACAAGGATAGTGGAATCACTGCTACACTCTTTTAGGGGTACAGCATATTTCCTCCCACGTACGTACCAGTTCCAATGGCTGATGCAATATGAGGAAAGGGAACCATGGCCTCATTTCCATCTCCTTTGCGGTGACTTGCACCCCCTGGCGGCTGTGCCAGGATGCAAGGTGGGGGGCTTCTCTGCACCCTTTCATCCGTGCACCTGCTTTGAACACCCATGGAGCAGTTAGATAGAATGTGGTTCTCCAGTTGCAAAGCATTTTGAAATCCAGCAGGCTGAAAGATGTTATAAAAAGGTATAGAAATAAATGGTCTGATTCGTCACCCTTATTCACACAAATAGCCCCATTAGGTTACTTTAATTGAACTTCTTGTCCATACTGCTTGTACCACTCAGTGTGAGTAAAGGTTGCAGAATTGGACCCAAAATTATTAAGAACAGTTATCAGGACAGTACTGTAAACTGTATGTTCCAGAAATGCTATCAATACAATAAATTCCGGAGGCTTGAGAAGACTTTGCTTGGAAGGGTGGGAAATGCCCCATAAACCTGCTTCTGTGCATGCCATGTTAGCTGTATTCATGATAATGCTCTCACAGCTCACTGTTTCCGAGCAGGAAGAATTAAAGAATTAAAGGCATAAACACCTTGAGAACAATTTGTTTTACAACTCCTGAAACCTGATAACAGTCTTCTCCCACATCAGAGTCCATTTGCCTTTCTGTTCGAAGTCCAATTCTTGTTGTTTGCCTCTTGTGATCTCACCACAGCAACAAGATGGCATGAAAAACAAGGAGACAATACCGGATGGGGAAGCCCAACATTTAAAGAGAGAGAGATGGGGGGAAATTAACAAGTTTTTCTTAATTAAAACAAGCTGTTAAGCTTGAAAACAAACTCTAATTCGGAACATCATTTTTAGAAAGTCATTTTTAGGAAGAGAGGCTTGGAATGAGACTGAGTCTGCAGTCTAAACTACTATAGAAGGGTCTGAGCAAGTTTCAGGGACATGAAAATCCCTCTTGAGACCAATGAGCCCCACCAAAATTCATAGTTTTAAATGTCCAAGGCTATGGGGTTTATGTCACTTCTCTTGTGAGGGAGTTTACATTGCTCTATCAGGAAGATTTTCCTGGTACTACCCTAATCTGAATTTCATCTCACAACTTCCAATTACTTTTTATGATTCTAATATTCTTCTCCATCCTTGATGTTTACACACTGTAAATATTTGTAGACTGTTCCAAACCTTCTTCCCTCAAGTTAGCCCTCGCATAACCTCATTGTGGAGAGTGAGGCATAGCTGTTTAAAGAAGAAATGTGCCTAAAGTGGATGCCAGTGTCTTAATCCCATCCACTCTGCAGAAAGCTTCTGCACTAAACCCCCAACCCTCTCACCCCTTTCATTTCCTTTCTGTTTTGAAAAAGCTCCCTTTATTGCTGCCACTCCTGAGCCCTTTTCCTTAGCTATGGGTGGAGGAGGGTATCATGTACCACTGCAGTCTTTGCAAAGCCCTAAACTTAACTCAGGTCTCAGGGACATGGGGGGGGGGGGTCCTGTTGGTAAGGCACGGGACTGGGATTCAGGAGATCTGGGTTTAATGCCAGGCCTGGGTGACTATGGGGCAAGCAACTCACTCTCTTTGTGCCTCAATACCACAGGTGAGGTGGGGGGGGCAGTATAACCCTTCACTACCTCCTAAGTGCTGTGAGGATAAGTCCATTAACCTTCCTGAGGTGCTCAAAAACTGTAGCGACGGGGCACATAGCCACACCCAGCCAGAAGGCCCATGGCACCACCTCTGAGTGGCCTTGACGTGTTTAATTGGCCATAAGCTTTCGTGGGTAAAAACCTCAGGTCCCACGAAAGCTTATGTCCAAATAAATCTGTTAGTCTTTAAGGTGCCACCAGACTCCTTGTTTTTGTAGCTACAGACTAACACGGCTACCCCCTGATACTTGACGTGTTGTGTGCCCCGAGGGGAGCTCGCCTGGCAGAGCTGTTCGTAGCCCTTTGCTGTGGTGGTGCCATGTCGTGCCCTGGGGCGCCTTTGCCTTGTCACACGACATCCTGTCACCGCGCCATAGAGCAGCTCGAAGCTCCCCGGGGCCGAGCATGAGGGGAGGGGATGGGCTGCTGCTCAGGTAAGAGAGTGGAGCCGCCTGCCCTACCCACCCCCGCTCCCGGGAGGCCTCGCCCCGCCCGGCCAGCAGGCCCTGCCGCGTCAGACGGCCCCACCTCGCAGGCTCCGCCCCGGGAGCGCCGCCGGGCTGGGCTGGCTGGCTCCACAAGTTTGACAGTTTGGGCGAAGGTAGCAGCGGAGCCGTCTCTGCCGGGACTTTTCTGGGGCGGCGGCCGGGCGGAGAGCGGGGCCCCGCGTGAGGGGCAGCGGAGCAGCTCCCCGAGGAGAAAGTTTTTTCCCGCCGGCCCCCTCGGCCTCTCTGCCGGATTCTCCGGAGCCGCCGCTGCCCTGACCCCTTCTCTCCTGCCTGAGGCGCTGCCGCCGTGTCCGTGGCCACGATGTCTCGGGATCCCGAAGAGGTGAAGAAGCTGACAGAGAGCACCTACAAGGTGAGTAGGGCCGGGCCGCAACGAAAGGGGGCGCTCAGGGAGTCAGCGACATAACCCAGTCCAAGGGGCAATCCCCTCCTCGGGCAGCTGGGGCACCCCTGGGTGGGCACACAGGTACCCCTCCTCCC